TGGAGCTGCTGGTGCTGGAGGTGCTGGAGGTGCTAGGGGTACTCGAGCTGCTGGTGCTGGAGGTGCTAGGGGTACTCGAGCTGCTGGTGCTTCTGGTGCTGGAGGTGCTAGAGGTGCCGGAGCTGCTAGGATAGGAGGTGCTAGAGGTGCTGGAGGTCCTGGTGGAGCTATTGGTGCCCTTCGCCACCTTCTCAGTCTTCAGCCAGGTGCTACTGGTTTCCCTATGGCAGATACTACTCTTCTGTTGCTGTGTCCACCGGCGGACCAGTCACAGCCGCCACTGCTACCACACTCCCCACTGCCTGCTCTTGCTCCTTGCACTGCGGTGTCAGAGTCCCTGACTGAGCGTTGAGAGCCTGAGACTCCTACTTCCACCCCTGAGCGTCGAGAGCCTGAGTCCAGCTTTGACCTTGAGCCTGAGCCTAGAGCTGCTGTCCGTGCTCGTGTTCCTCGTGTTCGTCGTCCACGTGCTCCGGCTGTCCCCGGCACTCACGATATGACACTCCGTCCTTCCTCTGTTCCTCAGCGTGTTGTCCTACCGTTGCCTGACGTTGCTGACCCTCCGTGTGACCTTGGTCATGCGTCCAGTCCGACTGTTACTCGCCTTCTTGCTATGGTTGTGAGGGACCCTACGTTCTTATCTCCTGCTGCGTCTGCCCTAGTAGCTGAGCTCGTTGAATTTGTTGCTGTGTACCGCTTAGACTACCTTGCGAGTCTTGTCTCTGACCCTGTCCCTGCCTGTCCTCCGTCCGTTGGGGGTGAGACTACTCTTGGCTGTACTGCCCTTGGCTGTGACGTTCTTGAGGACAGACACGAGGAGCTGGAGTGCCTTGCTGTCGCTTCACCCCATCATGCGACCATGCTGCTTGCCCCTGAGGGAGAGTCGGATGCACTTGACATCCCCACCCCGCGCTCCTATAGGGAGGCGATTTCGGGTGAGTACTCCTCTCAGTGGCAGACAGCCATGGACGCAGAGATGGCATCCTGGAAGTCCACAGGCACCTACGTCGACGAGGTTCCCCCACCTGGGGCGAACATCGTCAGTGGCATGTGGATTTTTAGGGGAAGCGACCGTCGGGTTCTCCGCCTGCCTTCAAGGCACGTTACGTTGCTCGAAGCTTTAGTCAGCGTGAGGGGGTCGACTTCTTTCAGACCTTCTCTCCCACCTCGAAGATGACCACTCTTCGGGTGTTGCTACACGTTGCTGCTCAGCGTGACTACGAGATGCACTCCCTCGACTTCTCGACAGATTTCTTACACGGTAGCCTTCACGAGGCCATCTGGTTGCGCCATCCACAGGACTTCACTGGGTCGTTTTCTGATGGTACCCAGTGGAGCCTACGGCGACCAGTGTACGGCCTGCGTCAGGCGCCCCGGGAGTGGCACGACACACTGAGGACGACACTTGCGGCTCTTGTGTTTGCTCCTTCGACTGCTGACCCGTCGCTGTTTCTACGCACCGACACTTCACTGCCGCCGCTCTACATCCTCGGGTACGTTGACGACTTGGTTTTTGCTACTGCTGACACTGAGGCACTGGCCCTAGTGAAGGCGGAGCTGCAGGAGAGACACATCTGCACTGACCTGGGTGAGGTGCGGAGCTATCTTGGATTGCAGATCACCCGGGACAAAGCACGGCGCACCATCACCCTGACTCAATCACACATGGTGCACTAGGTCCTTCAGCGCTTCCGCTTCACGTACTCCTCGCCACAGCCCACTCCTCTGGCTACCGGCCACTCGCTCTCAGCCATTTTTTGGACGAGTCCGTAGAGCCGGGTGGTCCGTACCCAGAGCATGTGGGCTGCCTCATGTACCTGATGACGTGCACACGACCTGACCTCGCGTACCCTCTAAGCCTTCTGGCTCGCTACGTGGCACCCGGTAGACACCAAAAGGTGCACTTTGATGCTGCGAAGAGGGTACTGCATTTCTTGTGCAGCACATCGGGCAAAGGGCTCATGCTCGAAGGACGGGGTTCGGTGGTCCTCACACGACATTTTGACGCTTCTTGGGCCAACGACCAGGCGACTCGGCGTTCGTCACAGGGTTACACCTTCAGTCTTGGCTCTGGTTCTGTCTCGTGGAGGTCCACTCGTTCTTCTTTTGTGCTTGGTTCCAGCTGTGAGGTCCAGATCTACGCTGGGGCCATGGCTGCACAGGAGCTCCGCTGGCTGACTTACCTGCTGACTGACTTGGGGGAGCGGCCTCGTTCTCCTCCAGTTCTATACGTTGTCAACAAGGCAATGCTTGCCTTGTGTCGCGAGCAGAGACTGGAGCACAGAACGAAACACATTGCTCTGCGCTACTTTCTTGCGCGTGAGCTGCAGCAGCGTGGTCAGCTGCGCCTTGCTTTTGTGGCCTCTCGGGCCAACACTGCTGATGTCTTCACCAAGGCTCTTGGGGCTGGTGATTATCAGCGTTTCTGCACTGCTCTTGGGCTTGTGCCCACTCTGCCTCACCTGCCGGTTGCTTGATTTGCTCTTGTTGTACACTGCGGTATATCTTTATACTTGCATGTTTATTCTTGCTAGGTTGTGATCTGTGTACTGCCTTGCTATTATAAATCTGCATGTGAACTGGTCTTGTGGCCGCCTGCTTGTGCTCAGATTGTGTGGTGTCCTTGAGATCCACCCTAAGCTTTGCCTTGCTTGTTCTCTTGCTTGAGTGGTCTTGTGACCACTGTTAGGTTTGGCTATCCCCTACTTCACCTCTGGGGGTGTGTCAAAACATACCGTATCCCCCCGGATATACCCCCATGGGGGGCAATAATAAAACAGGTTTTTTCATGGGGGTGGGCTTATAATCGAGTAAATTTATAAGCGCCGGCGTTTATAAAATGACATACATATTTTTTATATCTTTTAACACCAAACTGTAGGTCTCGTGCTTGCCTTTTCAATCGAGTCGAAGTTACATGGGATCGTCTGTGAAATTCTCGCGCGCGCTGGGAGATACACCCAATCTGACTCACATCCAGCTCCTGATAGGTCCTGCTGACTGGACCCGCATCCAGTGCAGGGTCCGAATGTGAAGGGAACCGAATCTGCAACATATCCGCCTGCTAAAGTAAAAATCGTTACAGCTTTTTGAACACATTTCAAATTTTAAAGTTTACGTGCGCTTATAATAAAACAAGTTTTTTCAAGGGGTGCGCTTATAATCGAGGAGGGGATATAAGCGCCATATGCCAATTAGAAGCGCCAGGCGCTTATCCTAGGGTGGCGCTTATATCCGGGGGGAGACGGTATTGTTCTGTTCATTTCACTCTAGGTTGTGTAGGGTTCTTTCCTTAGAGGGTACAACATTTCACTCTCGATAGTCTTGTATCCCTCTCCCTTACCTAATCGACATTCTCACCTAGCTCCTAGTTCTAACATCCACTCCGGTGTGCGCATCTGGAATAGACTGCGTGTGATTCCACTGACCCATATTTCTTGCTTTTGACACTGATCCCCCACAACCCCGTCCCCTTTGCCCTCTCCTCCCTGCCTCTCAGTGCCCTGCTGGCATCAAGCAACGTGTGGCACAGAAGGAGCAGCAGAGGCACCAGCGGAGGTAGCAACAAAGGGAGTAGCAGCGGGTCCTCATTGGCTAACAATCAGCCAAGAGAGGTAAGATAAGAGTATTGCTTTACCAGTAACTCCGCTTACACCTTTTTTCCACATCTCCCCATTGTACTGCTCCCTTTCTACTCGACCACCTGGCCACCAATGGCGAACCCAAGGCTCCCCCTCTTTCTTTCAGATGTAGAGCAGCAGGTGCCCCCTGGCAGGTGCAATACTTATACCCTTGGTATGGTGAGGTGAGGGTCAGGTCCCCCCCCCAGCCCCCCCCTTGGGTGCGCTACAGCAGCCGTGGACGTGCAGCTGATGTCACTGAATCCGCACCACCTGTTTCCATTCACTCATTCTCTCACTCCCGCCTCCCGCCCTCGTGCCCTTCCTATCCCGCCTCTACCCACCCCCCCCTGTCAGGGGGAGCAGCGCCCACCGCCCAGCAAACAACAAGCGGCATGCAGAGGGGAGTGCATCTGCTGCACCCATCATTCTGTTTCAACTGCACCCATCCGCACCGCAGTAAAGAGCTTCAACCCGCTCTCCCCACATGCCATGCTCCATCATCCCTCGGCCTTCTGCCACTTGCTTCCGCGCTTTGCTGCCTTAGTCCGGGGAACATGTGATGCGTAGTGGCCGTGGTGAGCCATGCCATGTACACAGGTGGGCATTAGAGCGTTCAGATCAGATCCAGGAATGAGTGCAAGCTAGAGGCCGGATTCACAGCTAAAGTTTCTGAGTGGCATGGAATATGACTGCAGCTGCTTGCGTGGTCTCTGGTGGTCACTGGTCACTGGTCAGTGGTCTCAGGTGGTCAGTGGTCAGTGGTCTCCGGTGGTCAGTGGTCAGTGGTCTCAGGTGGTCAGTGGTCTCTGGTGGTCAGTGGTCAGTGGTCTCTGGTGGTCAGTGGTCTCTGGTGGTCAGTGGTCTCTGGTGGTCAGTGGTCAGTGGGCAGTGGTCTCCGGTGTGCCCAGGTGGTCTAAGAAACACAGCATGCAGCAAGCAGTACTACAAATGGCAGGTACAGCCAAGGCAGAGAAAAGTTTTGTGCAAGCTGATGAGATGAACAAGTAGGGCTCTGCGGGCAAACAAGAGCGAAACGGTGAATATCTGTCCAGCCTCGAGATGTGGATTTGTACAGAATACTAAACTCAATTGAAAATAAGAACAGCCAATCGTGCGTACTGGTTTGAACGCGCAGAAGGATTGTCATCTCCACAGGTATCGCAGAGGAAGTCCCCCGGTCTTGCACTTGCACACCATGGACTCTGCCACCTTGCAAACTTCAGATGCAACGTCATCCAACGGTTGAGATGCGTCCACCACCTGTTAACAAACGTTTTGACGGATCATATTGTAACAGTGGAATGATTGGTGGTCAGGCAGGGGAGGTGAAGCACACGCACAACACGCAGTTGAAAAAGATGGGTTGCATTGCACGGGTCACAAGGGCAGAAAGGTTCTCACCACCCAAGTGTCGTCTTTCAGTGCATGGAAATGCTGAGCCACTCGCTGCTGGAACTCCACCTTCTCGTACCGCTCCCCACCATACCCACCCCGCTCTGCTGCATGCTGAGAATTGTTGTAAGCAACGAGTAGCATGTTGGAAAAGACAAGGAAAGGGGACATGAATAATGCAGGAGGCAGAAGGGGGGAAGTGGATGGATGCAGGTGTCGGTTTGTACTTGCACGAGGAAGGATGATGAAACACGAGTTGACAGCAATATCTGTGGGAGGATGATGGAAGGAGATGAAAGCATACCTGTGGGTCGATGTCAAGGTAAATTACAACGTCTGGTGCTGGTAGGCCCACTTCCGTGGACTGATGGGCGATGGGGGTACAACATGAGACGGTGGAAAGAATTTGATTGCAAAGCAAACAAGGGTGAACCAATATCGCACAAAAAAAAGCAAGCATGATGGCACGGAGACATGGAGATGAGAACCGAATGTGGAAGGGGCAAAACAGAAGCTCAGCATTGGTGAGCTACTGGATCACCTTGCACCAGTGCACGTCGAGGCCCTTGGCGGCTGAGAATGCGATGCCTGAGAACGAGTAGCGGTCCACCACCAGTGTTGTGCCCTCCCCCATCAACCCCTCCATCTCTGCCCTGGCGAACAGGGACGCGGGGAGGGCAGGCCGCGGGGAGCAGCAGACAGGCAGGCAGGCAGAAGAACAAGTGAGCAGTTGCAGCGAGGGTGGGAGGCGAATGTTGGGAGTTCAGGAGGGGAGCGCCTCTGAAGGGGCCGCACGGCCTTCTTCATGCGCTGTCTGTCGCCACACCTGCTCACTGCGCTGCCACCGCCTCTCCTCCGCCTGTCACACATGACCCCTGCTTTTGAAAAATTGCAGGGAGGTTTTGGAGATTCTCAAAAACACCCTGCTGCACCTGCCGCACATGAGCCATGAGCCGCCCTGCTGCACCTGCCGCCTGTGTCATGAGCCGGCCATCTCCTATGCCCTCCCCCTGCCGTGCTGCTGGTAGGAGGGGAGTGGGGGGTAGTGAAGGCGAGTACAGGAGTGTACAAGGTCTTCACGATCGATTGCAGAACACCCAGGTGCCGCGCATCCTCTTCTTGCCGCGCCGCCACCCTCTCCTGCCTGCCCTGCTCCTGCTTTGCAGAGAAGAGGGCGGGGCAGGGAAGGGAAGAAAGACAGGGGCAGCTGGCAGCAAATTGCATGATTGCAAAAAGGCTCGCGCACGTGATGCCATGCAACCGTGCATGTGATGGCATGCGACCGTGCATGAGATGCCATGCAACCGTGCATGAGATGCCATGCAACCGTGCATGTGATGCCATGCAACCGTGCATGAGATGCCATGCAACCGTGCATGTGATGCCATGCAACCGTGCATGTGATGCCATGCAACCGTGCATGTGATGCCATGCAACCGTGCATGAGATACCATGCAACCGTGCATGAGATGCCATGCAACCGTGCATGTGATGCCATGCGACCGTGCATGCAATACCATGCGACCGTGCATGCAATGCCATGCGACCATGCATGTGATGCCATGCAACCGTGCATGAGAAGCCATGCAACCGTGCATGAGATGCCATGCAACCGTGCATGTGATGCCATGCAACCGTGCATGTGATGCCATGCAACCGTGCATGTGATGCCATGCAACCGTGCATGTGATGCCATGCAACCGTGCATGAGATGCCATGCGACCGTGCATGTGATGCCATGCGACCGTGCATGTGATGCCATGCAACCGTGCATGTGATGCCATGCGACCGTGCATGCGATACCATGCGACCGCGCATGCGATGTCATGAGACCGCGCATGCGATGTCATGGGACCGCGCATGCGATGCCGTGCGACCGCGCATGCCATGCCGTGCGACCGTGCATGTGACACCATGCGACAGTGCACGCGATGCCATCCGACCGTGCATGTGACCGTGCCACCGACATGGATGCGATGCCATGCAACCATGCATGTGATGCCATGGAACCGTGCATGTGATGCCATGCCATCACGTTCCCTCATATGATTTCCACAATTAATCCCTCTCTTTAACCTCCAACCCCCCCCCCCACGCCCCCCCCCCCCCCCCCCCCCCCCCCCCTCTCCCGCATGTATCACTCCCTCCCATCTCACTTCTTCTCAAATCGATTCGCCGCAAACAGCTCGTGAATCCGACGGTCCTCAATCTCCTTCGTCTCTCTCAAGTACGCGTCTATCTCGCGTCCGATTGTTGTGCTGCGATCTGGGAACCGCATCGCCTTCACTGGTCCTAAATCCCGGGATTTTAAATGCTCCACCAGCCGAGCCACCTGCGACGACTTGCCGCTTCGATCCAACCCTTCAAGCACAATCAAAGCCCCGCGTTTCGCGCCGCAATTCGAGGCGCCTGTCGGGCTGTGCGCGAAGGCGGATCTGGAGGAAGAATCCGACGCATCAGCCATCAAAGATCGGACTCTGCTAGCTCCGCGACACGTTCCCAAGCGAGGGCGAATTGACACAAGGGGAAGAGAGCGCGGAGAGTCGGATGGACACACGAGATTCCTGACGGAGCTACGACCAGGGTTGGGAGAGAGGCTAGATCCGAGCCTGTGGACGAGGTTCGTAGCAAAGCTGATAGCGAGAGCGAACGAACGTCTGCGGAAGGTGTTTAACTGCGAGGAATCTCCGATATGAAGGACGGGACTAGAGCGTAGGTGAAGGGAGCGAACGAGTAAGCCCATGTGCTCACTCGCCCCACCCAGCCAATACGGGCGAGCAAACTGGCAGAATAATGCGGAGCGTATGGAACGCGGCGATGGATGATAGCAGATGTTGGAATGGCTCTGGTGCGAAACGAGCGTTTCGAAATATTCACCATAGCGCACTCGTTTTATCTCCAAGACTTTGAACTTTGCTGGTATAAACGTTTTTTTTTTGCATATATGAATTATACACCAGAACAGAAGTGTACAAGACATAAACAGTCGTTGTGTGCAGGAGAGACAAGGGGGGACCCCCCATCTCAGAATATTCGATCCTCAGACATGGATCCGGGGCCTGCGTGGTACGCCCCAAAGTGCCACGAAACTGTTGGACCACTTCCAACCCTTGCCATCCACCACTCTGTTGCGACTCAGAAGGCTGCACTCCTGCTCCGTCATCTTCTGCCACCTGGCGTGCTGCCCCTTTCCCCGCTGTTGCATCTTCGCTGCTGAGGCCCGCACGTAGACGTTCACATGCATGCGAAAAGCTGACTCAATCTTCCGCAACACCCTCCGCGTGCGGAACTTGCAGCCCCTGAAAGCCCCCTCACACCTCTCCGCCCACAGCTGATGAAGGCCGATCCCCACCAACGATGCTTCCGGAAATGCTGACACGGATCCAGCCTTGCCAAACAGCCAATCACCAAGCGTGTCACCCTTCCTGGCTGGGTTGATCAGTCTTAAGGCCTTTTTAATCGCCAAAACCACCCTCTGAGTTTTCGGGCATTCCAAAAGGCAATGTTCCAGCGTCTCAAACTCGCCACACTGAGGACAGACTGGTTTGCTGCTGAGGAACTCCAGTCTCTCCCCGACCTGCAGGTTGAGGCAATGAATCCGCAACATCACATCTCTCGGACGATTAGGGGTAACAAGTGACTCGCGAATTTGTACGACCAGTTTCCAATCAATGCTACCACCCCATCGGCTTGACCACTTCTCCCGCCTGTTCTCCCCGCTGTTGCCATGCCTCCACTGATTTCTGAGCGACCGCAACGGCACAGCCTCCCAATTTTCCAGCAGTTTCGCCCGGAGCTGCGCAGGGCCACCCCTTCCCACCGCATAGACGTCCGCAAACCCCACGTTCGGAAGCTCGGCAGAGAGAAGCTGCTTCCTCCACGCTTCTGGAGCTGCTGCGAAGGCTTTGAGCGCGAGGTTTGCTGAGTCCTTCCCCCGTAGCTCTCTCTCCAGGGTTTCGAGATTTTTCAACACTCCTTTCCCCTCTGCATCTCTCCCAATCAGGTCACCTATCCTGACATCCAGAAGCCGCTTAGCCGCTTTCTGCCCCCCCACCGGCGTAGTACCCTTGAGGAGAATGTGTTTATTGAACGTAATCCGCTCTAGCAGCAGCTCCTTCAGCTCGCGATTCTACGTAGATTCCGCCAGCGGAGAACGCATAAAATTCGTGCAGGCCAACTTCCATCGCTGACTCTTTCCCTCCCACGACTTCAGAACTTTTTCATGAGCCGTGAACGTCTCCAGTCCACGGGGCAGGTCTGCTGCCTGGCGCATCAGTTCTCGCTTGAATTGATCCGTCTCCGTAAGCAGAAGTCCGATCCTTCTGGCGGTGAGACAAGTAAGCATCATTTCCGGATTTTTCGCCCCTACTCCTCCTTCCAACACCGGTGTGAACAACAGCTCCTTGCTCCAGAGGCGAAAACACTTTTCTGCTGTAACTTTGTTGGCTGACATGAAATTCTGCGTCAGCTTAGTGATTACCCCCCAAGTTTGCGCCGGCGGCGGATAAACTTGCGCCTGAGACCACGCGATCGGCAGGATGTAGCCCTCCATCACTACTGTACGCGCTTTGATCGGAAGGTATTGCGGCTGCCACGGCGACATCTTCCCGGCTATCTTCTGCAGCGCCTTATCCCACGTCGGCTAGCAGCTTCCGCTCGGTGTAATCCAAACCCCAAGGAGTCTCTCTGCTTCATCAGCGCCAGCCCAGCGAAAACCGTCAGACCGCCAAGTCTTCTTTCCCAGATTAACGCCCAATGGCATCACCACCGACTTTTCCTTGTTCGTCTCCAGACCGGAAATGCATTTGAACTCCTCTAATACCTCCTCTGCTCTTCCGATTTGCTGTTTTCCTTGCAGCAGGAGGGTTGTATCATCCGCATAGCCGATGTAGCCCATCCTCTGCCCGACACAACTGGTGAGGGAGATGTCGATTTTCCGCTTCATCACCTTCTGCGCCAAAGGCTCCACCGCACAGAGGAAGAGGTAAGGCGCCAAGGGGCAACCCTGCCTTACGCCCGAGACCACTTCCACCGCGTTCCCCATCCAACCGTTAATTAACAAATTCGTTCGTGTGTTGGTATGCAGGCCCTTCACCCAGCCAACATAACTGGCCGAGAAACCCATCCTTTCCAACACCTCGAAAATGAAGTTCCGCGACACCGAGTCAAACGCTTTTTTGAAGTCAACAAGCAGCATGAACCAGTCCTCCTTCCCGTTCTTGGTGTCAAACTTATATCATATAGCTTGTCTAGGCTATAGTGGGGTAGACACTATGGGGTACAGTCTCCTAGGGTTTCCTACTTGTACCAACCTTGTGCTAGTTCATTCATTCCTCATTCTTCACATGGTATAGAGCAGGTTCCCTCGTGGGAACGCTTCTCAGGGCCCACCACTTAACTCGACTTTTTTTTTCCTGCCCGAGGCGCGCCCCGTAGGCCACCCTCACGTCGCGCCCTCCTCTCGGCCCCTCGCCGCCCCTTCACGGCCCCGTCGCCGCCGCTCTAGGCCCGTCGCGGCCCCTTCACGGCCTCGTCGCCGCCGCTCTAGGCCCCGTCACCGCCCCTATAGGCCCCTCGCGGCCCCTTCACGGCCCCGTCGCTGCCGCTTTAGGCCCCGTCGCCGCCCCTGTAGGCCCCTCGCGGCCCCTTCACGGCCCCGTCGCCGCCCCTAGCGGCCCCGTCGCCGCCCCTCTAGGCCCCTCCCGGCCCCTTCGCGGCCCCGTCGCCGCCACTTGCGGCCCCGTCGCCGCCTCCTCTAGGCCCCTTACGGCCCCTTCGCGGCCTCGTCGCCGCCCCTCTAGGCCCCTTGCGGCCCCTCTGCGGCCGCGTCGCCGCCCCTAGCGGCCCCGTCGCCGCCCCTTCGCGGCCACCTCGCCGCCCTTAGCGGCCCCGTCGCCGCCCCTAGCGGCCCCATCGCCGCCTCTAGTGGCCCCGTCGCTGCCTCTACCGGCCCCTTCACCACTGAGCCGCCCAGCAGCTGAGCAGCCGAACCACCCAGCAGCCGAGGCGCCCAGCAGCCGAGCCGCCCAACAGCCGAGCCGCCGAGCCGCCCAGCAGCCGAGCCGCCGAGCCGCCCAGCAACCGAGCCGCCGAGCCGCCCAGCAGCTGAGCCGCCCAACAGCCGAGCCGCCCAGCAGCCGAGCCGCCGAGCCGCCCAGCAACCGAGCCGCCGAGCCGCCCAGCAGCCGAGCCGCCGAGCCGCCAAGCCGCCCAGCAGCCGAGCCGCCGAGCCGCCCTGCCGTCGAGCCGCTACTGTTCCTACAGGCGCGCCCCGGCCCTACTTACTCGGA